TTCCCCCCTGCGCTTTTTTTTTTTTTTTTCAAAGCTAAACCTTTCGTAATCAACTTCAGGTAACCTAACGGTCGCCCACATACTTGCTCCATTGGCGTGCATATATCGAAGTAGCCAGCCTCCTTGAACATCTCCCATAATATGTTCTACACTGTAGAAAGCTAAAGTTAAATCTACATGAGGCGTAGAATGCCTTTCTAAGAAAAATGCCTGTACTGTAATTATCTGGATTACCAAACAAATACCAGCAATAGATCCAAAACCGTACCAATAGCTGAGATTGCTCGGACTTGTATAATCTACAAAATGATTGCTGAATGTCGAAAATATAGTTTGTTTATGAATCCATAGTCGTCATGCCATACATATTCAATTGTTGTTTGTATTAAAAAAAAAAAAAAATAGTAAAAAATAAAAATTGTTGTTTGTATGGTTTGAGATTGCTCGGACTTGAATAATCTACCAACTGACCGACTGTAGTGAATCTGGTGCAGGCATATTCTTACCCCATCAGTAATGGTGGAAGGTCGAGGTTTTTTTTTTTTTTTTTTTTTAAAGAAGGTCGAGGTTCCAAGGGCGCGGTTGTTCGCCGATGAAAGTGGTGAGCTCGTTGCCGTGTCAGACGATATTCTTCTCCCAATTCCACCTCACTCTACATACCTACCTACCACTACTAATAATTGTAGGCATACGGGGAAACCCGTACCAGCCAGAAAAAAAGACACCAAATACCGAGAAGATGGCAGTTATTTACAATTTGATAGAAATGCTGTTGTTTTAATCATTAATGGTTTGCCTATTGGTACGAGAATTTTAGGTTGTGGGACACATGAACTAGGTGAAAAAAACGCTGAAACGCATTCACGAGAGAACATGGGGGGGATGCTCCTGACGACTCTTCTTGTTTTGGTGCTTCTTTTAGAAATTAAAGGGAAGGGAAGAAAAAAGGAGTAGTCGAAAAGAATAGAGAAAGAAAGAAAAAAAAAAAAAGAGAGAGGGAAAAAAAAAAGACTTGAAAGCTGTGGCCAAACACTTGCTTCTGCTCTGAACACGAACCAGAGAATGAAAAACGTGTTACATGATTTCGAAGAAAAAAGAAAAAGAAAAGAGAGAAAGGGAGACAGAAGTGTGAGGCAGCGGTGTCAAATATAAAATATATATATTTACAAAATTTTCACATAGCTTCGAATTGAGATCTTTGTGATGTATAAATAGATTGATTAGATCTAGAGAGATTAATTTATTGGATTCATAGATTCTTTGGAAAGGTCCATTTGTAGATGCTTGTCTGTTGAAAAAGCATTCGCGTGTGGCTCGCCTCCCATCAGAAATGGTAAAAGGAGCTTCTACATATTCCATTCCTTGAAATGCAGTGAAAACTAAAGCTAGAAGAATAGTGGCTAATATGCCATAAGGGGCTTGCATAGCTTTGGGAACCTGGAGCAAGCTTTGGGAAATTGTGTACAATTAGCATATATACCAGTGGGTACTTTAATAATAATAATAATAATAATAATAATAATAATAATAATAATAGATATAGAATTAGTATATTAATTATTTAATATTGTAAAATAAACTATATAACTATATAAAAATATAACTATAAACTATAGAAAAATATAAAATTCAAAACAAAGGTTATTTGTAATTCACTTTTTAATTGAATTGGAATCTTTGTTTCATTTGATTAATTTAAATTGTATTTTTTTTCTAAACTCATCAAATAAAATTGAGGTGTTTTGGTGGCATGTGATGAGGTGTGAACCGACAGTCTGTAGAGTTATCCATCTGCTGTGGGTGAGTGATAGTCTGTTTGATTTGCGTCACAGGTACACCTTGAGGGCAGTGGTTGGTGGTCCCCACCATCTCAGAGGGGTATCAGTTGTCGGGCAGTTTCGTTTCGTTGATACTTAACCACAACCGGGTTGTGGTTAAGGTGGATTATCATTATCACTTACAGTGTGTAATCAATCATCAGGTTAGGGGATTCTGCTGCAGACTGTTTTTTAGAAGGTTCAGCGTCAGCCTCGTTATGATTAGTCAGTCGGTGGAACTCCGACGACACAGTTTGTTACGGCCCCTCGTTTGCTGTGCTCTTGTCCCTCTCTGTAGACGGTTTACCGGGTACAGACCAGACCAGTCACCGCTAGCACCTGGGGAGAGGCTCCATCTCCATTAATAAATTAATACTTAGTAATATGCTCAGAGACCGGGCCTATGACTGTGCTGATTTTGAACCGTGTTCGCAACTCGCAATTGCACCAGCAATCCCTCAGCAAAAGCAGGTGGCCATTGCACGAAGAAGCAATTACACGGTAGCTCTAGCTACCTTCTTCCCCCGAACACAACGCACCCTGATGCCAAATGTGAATACAAGCTATGTTTCGGTCCTCCGTCCTCCCTCGCTCCGTGCTCTATTATCTGGGGACGATATAGAGAGTGCATTCCGTTTTTCTTTAGCTTTTTCAATTTGCGTTAAGGCTTAGCGCCACTTTTTTTTTCAATGTGAATAAGGGCGAGCGTGTGCTCTCGCGCGTGCGGTCGCA